GTATAGAATGGGGGAGTAACGATGTACAGAATTAGAGGGGAGGGTAGGTTTACTGTTGTATAGAATGGGGGAGTAACGATGTACAGAATTAGAGGGGAGGGTAGGTTTACTGTTGTATAGAATGGGGGAGTAACGATGTACAGAATTAGAGGGGAGGATGGGTTTACTGTTGTATAGAATGGGGGAGTAACGATGTACAGAATTAGAGGGGAGGGTGGGTTTACTGTTTGTTTAGAATGGGGGAGTAACGGTGTACAGAATTAGAGGGGAGGGTAGGTTTACTGTTGTATAGAATGGGGGAGTAACGATGTACAGAATTAGAGGGGAGGGTAGGTTTACTGTTGTATAGAATGGGGGAGTAACGATGTACAGAATTAGAGTGGAGGATGGGTTTACTGTTGTATAGAATGGGGGAGTAACGATGTACAGAATTAGAGTGGAGGATGGGTTTACTGTTGTATAGAATGGGGGAGTAACGGTGTACAGAATTAGAGGGGAGGGTAGGTTTACTGTTGTATAGAATGGGGGAGTAACGATGTACAGAATTAGAGGGGAGGATGGGTTTACTGTTGTATAGAATGGGGGAGTAACGGTGTACAGAATTAGAGGGGAGGGTGGGTTCATTGTTGTATAGAATGGGGGAGTAACGGTGTACAGAATTAGAGGGGAGGGTGGGTTTACTGTTGTATAGAATGGGGGAGTAACGGTGTACAGAATTAGAGGGGAGGGTGGGTTTACTGTTGTATAGAATGGGGGAGTAACGATGTACAGAATTAGAGGGGAGGATGGGTTTACTGTTGTAGGGAATGGGGGAGTAACGATGTACAGAATTAGAGGGGAGGGTGGGTTGACTGTTGTATAGAATGGGGGAGTAACGATGTACAGAATTAGGGTGGTGTTGGGTAATGTTAGGGAGGAGTAGGCACGTACACAGATAGGAGGGGATGCATAATTACAGAATGGGAAGGAACACACATGGAGAAATTATGTACTCGGGGGAGGGGGGGGGGGGGGGGGGGGGGGGGGATAATGATGTCGAGCAGGGAAAGGAGTAATTATGTACAGAATGATCCCTGGAAAGTGGCAATGAACTATCAACGTGGAGATAATAAAAGTCATCGATTTTCTTCCAGATGTCGCTACTACTTGCATGAATGTTTGGTGATTAGTAGTAGTCACTGAACCAGGTATATTCCCTAACCCAACTCTGGGATATATGACGAGTCGTATTCACACTGTGGACATTCTACCTAATTAAATCATAAGTTCTCGTTGCCAGCATTAAACGTAACTTGGTATCCGATTTCCAGCTGCTTTAATGGGCGTGACATTGGTGTGAGCATCATCAGCAAGGTTACTGACTATATTACAAGAGTTCCCAGCAGCCTGGTTCCCTGATTATGCTGCGCTGGTGCTACGCTGCGCCAGCGCAGCATTCCCAGGGAACCAGGCTGAGTTTCCAGTGCTAGACTTTTACAGTCAGTGAACTCCCTTGGCTAGGGAAGATGCTACCTGGTCAACTTCATGTGCTAGACTCCACGTTTGCCACATTAAATGCGGGTATCTACTTGGAATTTCTGCCTGGTGTTAGTCTTATTTCTCCATGTGGGGTTACTATCTGGCGTGGGTATTATTTCTCCATGTAGGGTTTCTACCTGGTGTGGGTATGATTTCTCCATGTGGGATCTATACCTGGTGTGTGTATTATTTCTACATGTGGGATCTCTACTTGATGTGGGTATTATTTCTCCATGTGGGATCTCTACCGGGCGTGTGTATGATTTCTCCATGTGGGATCTCTACCTGGTGTGTGTATTATTTCTCCATGTAGGGTTTCTACCTGGTGTGGGTATGATTTCTCCATGTGGGATCTCTACCTGGTGTGTGTATTATTTCTACATGTGGGATCTCTACTTGATGTGGGTATTATTTCTCCATGTGGGATCTCTACCTGGTGTGTGTATTATTTCTCCATGTGGGATCTCTAAATGGTGTGGGTATGATTTCTCCATCTGGGATCTCTACCTGGTGTGTGTATTATTTCTCCATGTGGGATCTCTACCTGGTGTGTGTATTATTTCTCCATGTGGGATCTCTACTTGATGTGGGTAGTATTTCTCCATGTGGGATCTCTACCTGGCGTGGGTATGATTTCTCCATGTGGGATCTCTACCTGGCGTGGGTATGATTTCTCCATGTGGGATCTCTACCTGGTGTGTTTTTTATTTATCCATGTAGGATCTCTAAATGGTGTGGGTATGATTTCTCCATGTGGGATCTCTAAATGGTGTGGGTATGATTTCTCCATGTGGGATCTCTACCTGGTGTGTGTATGATTTCTCCATGTGGGATCTCTACCTGGTGTGTGTATTATTTCTACATGTGGGATCTCTACCTGATGCGGGTAGTATTTCTACATGTGGGATCTCTACCTGATGTTGGTAGTATTTCTCCATGTGGGGTTTCTTCCTGGCGTGGGTATTATTTCTCCATGTAGGATTTCTACTTGGCGTGTGTATTATTTCACACATGTGGGATTTCTACCTGGCGTGGGTATTATTTCTCCATATTGGGTTTCTGCCTGGCGTGGGTATTATTTCTGCACGTGGGATCTCTACCTGATGTGGGTATTATTTCTGCACGTGGGGTTTCTACCTGGCGTGGGTATTATTTCTAGATGTGGGATCTCTGCCTGGTATGGATATTATTTCTCCATGAAGGGTTTCTACCTGGCGTGGGTATTATTTCTCCATGTGGGTTTTTTTTCCTGGCGTGGGTATTATTTCTCCATGTGGGGTTTCTACCTGACGTGGGTATTATTTCTCCATTAGGTTTGTATTTTTCTGGACTGTGTATTATTTCTCCATGTGGGATCTCTTCCTAGCATGGATATTATTTCTCCATATGGGGTTTCCTCCTGGCGTGGGTATTATTTCTCCATGTGGGATCTCTACCTGGCGTGGATATTATTTCTCCATATGGGGTTTCCTCCTGACGTGGGTATTATTTTACCGTGTCGGATTTCTACCTGACGTGGGTATTATTTCATCATGTGGGATCTCTATCTGGCGTGGGTATTATTTCTCTATATGGGGTTTCCTCCTGACGTTGGTATTATTTCCCCATTCGGGATTTCTACCTGACATGGGTATTATTTCGTCCTGTGTGATCTCTATCTGGCGTGGGTATTATTTCTCTATATGGGGTTTCCTCCTGACGTTGGTATTATTTCACCATGTGGGATTTCTACCTGACGTGGGTATTTTTTCTCCATATGGGGTTTCCTCCTGACGTGGGTATTATTTCACCATGTGGGACTTCTACCTTTATTTCTCAATGAAGGGTTTCTACCTGGCGTGGGTATTATTTCTCCATGTAGGGTTTCTACCTGGCGTGGGTATTATTTCTCCATGTAGGGTTTCTACCTGGCGTGGGTATTATTTCTCCATGTGGGATCACTATCTTGTGTGGGTATTTTTTAACCATGTGGGATCTCTATCAGGTGTGGGTATTATTTCACAATGTGGGATCTCTACCTGACGTGGGTATTATTTCTAAATGAAGGGTTTCTACCTGGCGTGGGTATTATTTCTCCATGTAGGGTTTCTACTTGGCGTGGTCATTATTTCACCATGTAAGGTTTCACCTAGTGTTTGTATTATTTCTCCATGTAAGGTTTCACCTGGTGTTTGTATTATTTCACCATGTAAGATTTCACCTGGTGTTTGTATTATTTCAACATGTTGAAGCTCTATTTAGAAATGGCATTGTTGCTACACGTCGGGGTTCAACCTGGCGTGGGAACTGTACCGTCATGGGTATGTATGGGTTTCCACTGAGAGACCAGACAGGGATTGCCAAGATGATACTTACATCAGCTCGACCTTCACATATCGGCGTATATGTAAATCATGCAACGATCATCCAGATTAATTGATTAGAAAGTAAACTCGGAAAAGGTATTAATGCAAGTGACTTATAAAGTTATTTAAGCAGATAACCTCTAATTGTCCCCAGCACTAACCATAATGATTTTCCTCAGCTGCTGTTTCTTCTATTGTGTCCCTTCAATTACCACTAACCTCTGAGAAAAGATTAGCATGGTTTCCATGGTAACTCGGATGTTTCACACTTACATACTCTTTCACTGAACGCCATTCTTGAGATTAATTGAACAATTGGGCCGTTTCAGCATATTCGTATCCCTTTACAAGGTGAAGAACGGCTATTATTAACCACCATGTCACCATGGAGACACGATAAACGACTGATAATTAGAGATCAGTAAAGTTAGTCGAGGTGTGTTTTCTCAGATAGAAACAAATGATAGCCACATTTATTCAGGTGAGTTACCCGATAACGTATGCTCCACTCAATACAAACTTGACGTCGGGGAAATGTTCATTGTATAACTTGTTTTCCAGAATTTCATTTTCTTAGGTTTCAGTAAGTGCATTTTCTAATGCAAAAATGACTTTGTGGCTTTATAAATTGACCAATATTCTAACTGTGTACACAAAAACCTACTTGTCACTAGCCATACAAATTCGGATCAGAATTTGCCTTCAGCAACCAATGCCTGCCCCGAGAGGCGACAAACGGGATCGGGTGTTCCTGACTTGGTTGATGCATGTCATCATATCCCAAGGTGCATGCGTCAATCACTGGATTCTCTGGTCCACACTCGATTGTTTACAGACCAGCGTCATATAGATGGAACATTTCGGCGCTAAACAACAATCCAGTTATCGATATTGCGAGGAACAATCTTCTCCTACGGTGAACGATGATACGTTATCAACGAG